AACTACATTGTTAAGGAATTTTTTAATTTCAAAGCAGCACCACCAAAGATAAGAAATTAAAAGAACCATCTACCTATTATCCACAAAATTAATAGCGCATTCCACATCTAAAGGAAGCCAAAAATTGCAGAACACCAATTTTCACACAATAATGATAATCAGCAAACTACATAAATTGTAAAAAAAAAACATCTGCAACACAATGACATGAATAATGAAGGGAAAACTTAGCTAATCGATAATGCTCATCCGAATGATGGCAATCCTGATGCAGATCGAAAAAATTAGATAATCGATAATGTTCATCCAAAGCAACACAAGCCCGACTGCAGAGCGAAAAATTCAAACCTGAACACCGCAAAATATTTAACGAAAACGGGCAAGATGAAATTGATTCTCAGCAACCACAAAGTACGGCGAACCAAAAAAAAAAAGGTTAAACTAAAATGCACGGATTATGTAATCGGAGAAGATGTAGAGGAGCAGAAAAGCGGAACGCCGGGAAGAAATGACAAAACAATACTGGCCCTAAAATATCCCCATAGAAAAACATGAAATTACAAAATTGCCCCTCATCTTTTTTCAACAATAAAACGGAGTGAGGAACAAAAAAGAAAACAAATGAACAACCAAAAGAAGAGTAAATGGATTGCCACGTGTCGCATTACAAGCGAGTTCATATTTCCTTATAAGTTATAAGGGTAGATTATTATTATTATTATTATTATTATTATTATTTTTCTGTGCAATGTGTAATGTTTAAGGTTATGATTAGGGTAAATAAAAGGGATAAAAACTTATGTAGGTGGCTACCGGGTCGGTCGGGTCAGACAGGTCGGGGGGGTCGACCCACCTCGAAACGGGTCGTCAGGTCACGGGCCTGACCTGTTGGACCCGTCGCGGGTCGCGGGATAGGCCGGGTCCACTGGGCCAAAACGCGGGCCGAGTCTAGATCCGCAGGTACCCGGCCCAACCTGGCCCATTGTCATCCCTAAAGGGGGCTAAGATATCTCATTAACTCACTTTCTCTTCATTCATTACTACACTCTCATTTGCGAATGCTGACTTAGGCATCGGAGGCCCGACGCTGGGATCCATCTCCGTGTTGGGTTCTTGCAGGTACGGAAGCTGTTCGAATTTAAAGAGCTCGGGTGAAGTCCATTTTACCATTATTGGCGCCGTCTGTAGGACCCGTTAAAAAAGCCAAACGGAGTTCCGACCAAAAATATTCAAAAATTTTCCAGCAAGTTCATTCACCTCCACTGACCGCTGCCACGCACCGCCACCGCTGGCCGTCTCCTCTGCCGCCTGCCGCGGGAAAACATGCTATACATATTATATATTGCACCATAATGATCAAAACAGAACGAACGAAAAAATATATAAATATTATTTTTTCATATATTTTATTTACACCTATATATTATAGTTTTAATATAAATCATTAAATAAACATATTAACTATTAAATAATAAATTATTTCAAATATTTAGGTTAATTTTAACCAACCGAATAATTCAACTATTTCGGTTCGGTTTTAGATTGTATTAGCACATAAAAAAAAAAATTAATCGCGCACGACATAACGCAAAATAGTATAACACATGATGCACATTAGTCACTGTCAAATTGCACAATAATGTTAGAACATATGCACATTAATGTGTTTGAGAATGCGCCTTTTAATAACAATGCGCATTTTCGCAAAAATGTTAAAATTTAGGTCATTGCATTCCAAGTTTAGCTATATTTGCAAAAGAAAAGAAACAAATAACAGAACCAACCGAACCATAATTTTTATTTTTCATATTTTATCTTTATATATTTATTAAAACGACAATACAAAATGTTTTTTCATCTCGGGTATAGAGCAATACAAAATGCTAACTAAAAAAATTACGAATATTAAATATATTTTGTGCTAAAATAAATAATAATAAAAATAAAATAGTTGCTCTTCCCATGCAAATTACAAATAGCTTGATTGCACATTAACGGCAGTTAGATTGCACTTTATTATTAACAGATTGCACATAAATATATGACATATTGTAGTATATGACTTAAAACCCGACCGACTTCGTTTGTTGTGTTCGAATTTTATATCGGATCGATTATATATGTTTACTTTTAAAATGTTAGTCATTTCGGTTCGATAACATTTTTTTTCCAAGTTTACTAATTCAAAACAAAAAAAGAGTCAAAAAAGAGAACTTAACTCATGGGGGCACAGAGTCGAGTTAACTGAGTGTGATTTACTACCTCGTGAATATGTTTACGAATCAGCACGAAGCTACCGTCATCACCTTGGTGCTATGAGAAGACCCCGTGCGACAGGCCTGTTGAAGGTGGGGCTCCATAGGTGTAGTCTCCGCTTGCACTCGCTTTTTTAATAACCAAAATGATCATACCGAACAAACTATATAAAAAATACTATTTTCTTATAATAATACTATTTTTTTCAATCAAAATAAATACAAATTTATATAAAAATATTAATGTGCACTTTACATAGCATTAATGTGCAATAATTGTCGTTAACGTGCAATTTACGTAACAGTAATGTGCAAGTATTGAAAGTTTTGTAAATTATAATTTGGACACATGAACTTAATTATAAAATATCTAAGTTTATAAAATTGCAATTGAGTTCTCTTAACATATCAAATTTTCAAAAAAAAAAAAAAGCCAATTATCCTTTCTTCAATTCAGCATACCTACCGGCTAGAGCAGATCCTTTGGAAGGGAGCTCAACAAAGGTTGTGATAAAAGCCTGATTCTTCGGGTGTGAATATTTCAAGAAATGATCTTGGTGAAATTGAAATAGTTGCTGATGATACCCAGTAAAGCTCCATTCTTCGTGGGACTCCTCCTGTGACAATTGAATCCAATTTTGACCATTATTTTCATAACCGTAATAGTGCGAAAAGAAGACCCGGCTCTAAGTTGTTCAAGAATAGTGGCGTTGAGCCTCTCGACCCTTTGACTTAGGATTAGTCAGTTCTATTTCTCGATGGGGCAGGGATATAACTCAGCGGTAGAGTGTCACCTTGACGTGGTGGAAGTCATCAGTTCGAGCCTGATTATCCCAAAACCCAATGCGAGTTTTTCTATTTTGATTTGCTCCCCCCGCCCAATGAGAATGGATAAGAAGCTTGTGGTGTTTGCCTGAGGGGCAGAGATGGCTAGGTTTCTGGGGGCGAACTCCGGGCGAATATGAAGCGCATGGGTCCAAGTTATGCCTTCGAATGAAAGACAATTCCAAATCTGCTTTGTCTACGAACAAGGAAGCTATAAGTAATGCAACTATGGATCTCATGGAGAGTTCGATCCTGGCTCAGGTTGAACGCTGGCGGCATGCTTAACACATGCATGTCGGACGGAAAGTGGTGTTTACAGTAGCGGACAGGTGAGTATACGTAACGCGTAAGAACCTGCCCTTGGAGGGGAACAATAGCTGGAAACGGCTGCTAATACCCCGTAGGCTGAGGAGCAAAATGAGGAATCCGCCCGAGGAGGGGCTTGCGTCTGATTAGCCAGTTGGTGAGGCAATAGCTTACCAAGGCCATGATCAGTAGCTGGTCCGAGAGGATGATCAGCCACACTGGGACTGAGACACGGCCCAGACTCCTATGGGAGGCAGCAGTGGGGAATTTTCCGCAATGGGCGAAAGCCTGACGGAGCAATGCCGCATGGAGGTAGAAGGTTTTCTGCCTGCGACTAGAATGACGTTCTGTGGCAGCTAAGTGGCGGCGGACGACGGCCGGCGCGACACGCGGGTGGTGGTTCGCGGCGTCGGTGGCCCGACCTGCAACTTCTCTGTACTTCTCTAACGGAGATGAAGTGGGGCGGTTGCGGTGGTTGCAGGTGGCGATGTGGGGAATGTTGTCGGCGACGACGGTAGTGACGTGGTTGGTGGCAGCGACGGGGCCGGTTGCTGCGATTGGAAGAAGATGGCAGACGGTGGAGGCATATGGAGGAGACGAGGCAAGGTTGTTGTGGCAGGACGGATGAGGCGAAGCGACAGACTGGTGGTTGAAATTAGGAGGCGATGTGAAGTTTGTTGTCAACGGTGATTGCGGTGGCCATTAACGTGAGCACCCTCACCGTGAGATATGGACGGGTTGCCGGACTCGGCGATTGGTGGCGGCAACAATATGACCGGTGGGCTCGTTGCGGTGGCGATGGCGTGCCGGAATCAGTGAACTGTTGACGAGCTGTGGTGAGCTGCCGATGGTGTCGGGAAAGAAGACGATAGATAGGAAGGGAGAGGGAGGAGAGTGATTGTTGGGAATAATTATGGGTGGGACCCACTAATTTTATTATTTGGGAGATTACATTACTACATTTATTGATATAATTTTGACCAACATATGACCATTTAATTACAGAATCCACAGTGAATTTGACTTTAATTACCAAGATTTGACTTCATCTTGACCCAATGGTGTAGAATTATTTTTATTCTTTCATTGCGAGTTATTCTCATATGATCCAAACTATATATATATAACTGCTGACAAATTATAAATAAAACCTAATAAATAACATCTACTAAATTTTACCTATACGGTATTTTTCTTCAATAACCGTTACAATCCATTATTATTATTATTATTATTATTATTATTATTATAATTATATTAATCCACCCTATCTCGTTAATGATAAAATATTT